TGAAGTGCACGGCTTGTGAGACCAGCACCCTGGTTTCCTTCCATTCACCGCAGCTCCCTCCGCCGCCTCCACCCCACCGGAGCCAGCTCCCTCGCGTGTCGGCGCCGGGGCAGGGCAGGGAGCGAAGGGGACAGAGTGCGGGCTTTGCACTCCCGCTTCTGCATGACGTGTCGCGAGCCTGGGCAGAGACCGATCCAGCCTTTCCCGGAGTCAGGCCCATCTCTGCTCCACCGAGCTATTCCCGACTCCTGGCGCATCACAGGGAGAGACAGTCCCCCTGCAAAGCCAGCCCTCCCTGCTACAAAGGAGGGCCAGGCATGAGGCCCCACTCCCCAAGGACTCACCAGCAGCCCCCACTTGCCTATCAGCTACCCCGGCCCTTCAGGCTGTTCACAAAGGGAGCTGCTCCCCCCAGCCCCTGTTCCTGGCACGTGAGCTCCCACCCAGCACCCTGTTCTTGGGGTGTCCCCTGCAGCTGGAGAGAGCTGAGGCCAGGGCTGCTGCATCCATACCCCACTCACAGCCTCCCCCCGCGGTGTCTGCCAGCCCCACGGTCCCAGCACTGGCCCAGTGCAGCCCCTCCGGGATCCCACCCACAGCACGGCCCCATGGAGCCTGCACGTGGCCCAGTGCGGCCGTGGGGCCGCGTCTCACCCAGGCCCGACGATGCAGCCTGCAAGCCGCTCGGAGGTAGGCCCGCCGGGGCGTCCTCATGGGCGATGCCCGAGGGGTCCCTGCAGTGCCCTGGGGCTCCTGGCGAGTCACTGGGGCAGCCCCTGACCTGCTCCTCCCCAGCCCAGCATCAGGCTGAACCAGGCTGCTGGACTATTGTAATGCCCCCCCGGGGGTGCCTCACTGGGGACTAAACCCCAGAGCTTCCGTGCTGGACGCCCACGACCCTACGCCCGCAGCTAATGGAGTGGCTCCACTAGCTGGTAGCAGTAATAGGCTGTTACCTTCTTATATGGACCAGTCACTAGCGAGCCGCAGAACACACAAGGACCAGTGGGCCACATGATAACTAGTAGGACCCCTCTCACCTGCTAACAGGATGGGACCCGGAGCCAGGGCTTTGCGACGGGCTCAGCGGGAGGTTTGCCGAGGAACGCTCAGCAATTTCATGGTGACCTTCCCACAGACAACTCTGGGGGGTGGGGGGTTGGCCGACGGACTGCAGAGTTGGGGGGGATAAAATCTAATCAGAGCCCTTTTCCTTAATAAATCATTCATCTTAATCAAACGCCCTCCCTCCTGCTCTAATAACTCAAGGCGTCAGGCACCCAGAAGCCACAACAATGCAGCTAATGGAACGATTTATTTTCATAATGGTGCCGGTGGGGAGGGGGGGTGGAGGGGGGGAAATCGGACGCACTGGGGGCAAGAGTTTCTAATTAGTGAATGAAATTTGATGTAAGGCTGGAGGAAGATGGATTCGCGGCTTGACAAGGGCCTTTCAGCTCATCAACGCTCCTGACAAGAGAGGTAAATTAAATTATTTCTAATTCGTCACTAACCTCCGGGGAGTCACCCTGCCACCAGGGAGAGGTGGGGCCAGGCCTTAGATAAACAGGCCGCTGAAGGACTGCGGCGAAGCGAGTGGGGAGAGACGGGCTGGGTTCTCGTAACGCCGGGGGAGGTGGTTTGCCAGATGGGGGGTGAATTTATACATTGTCAACAAATAAACTAATAATGCTGATCAATGACTCCGTTTTCTGTTTGGCTAGAGTCCATCCTGGAGCCTCCCCAATGCTGTGAAGTGCAGCCAGCTCTGGGGTGGAACACAGCAGGACACTCACAGCACCGTGGCTGGACTCTGAGCATCGCGCAGCTGCGGAAGGTTTAGATTGTGGGAAAGATTCGCGTTTCTGGCACAATCGGGGTCGCGGGGCCTGAAGCAGCTGGCAGGCGGGTCCTGATGCCAGTCTCAGGCCCTGCTGGGCACGTGTCTGAGACCAGCAGACAGCATCTGCTTTCAGGACTCAGGACAGGTGGCAGCTTGACCCAGCCCAGATCCCAGCCCGGCTTCCAGCGCTGCTGAGGGACTTTTTGGGACATCACCGGCTGCAGGGCTGGGGCAGGAGGCTGTCCTGGTGAATCACACTGGGCCCTCGGTGCCACTAATGCTCGAGATTTGATCGCCAGGCTGGTGAGACTTTGTGTTTTTCCTAAAGCCCCAGCTGCCGGAGTCCTGTGATGAGGGGCCCTGCTCCCGCCTGGGGCTGGAGGGCAGGCGCCAATCGTGGTGATATGACGTCTCCAGAGGCCCGCGAGATTTCCCCGGGCAGTGGGAGTGGCGCAGTGCAACCCGCGTGGCTGGGCCCACGGCAGCCAGGGACGAGCACACATGCAGAGAGCCCCTCCCTGCTGATCCCCCACTGCCCGGTGATGCCACAGGGCTTCTCCCCCCAGCAGGTCTCCTGAATGATCAGCCACCCTCGTCCCCCCTTGGCTGGCACCTTCCCCGTGGGTGGCGCGTGGCCTGCCCTGGGCACCGCAGGGCAGATGCCTCCATCGGACAATGGAGGGAAACGGGCTTTGGTCAGGAACCCGGGCGGCCACGTCGAAGGGAAGCTGTGGCCCAGCGGCGGCTGATTTCCCAGATGAGCCGTGCAGGGGATAAAGGTGGGGCTCCCAACCATTCCCTCGGCCACGGGCTGCCCCTTGACAGTGGTTCTCTCTGGCCAGGGACACGGCCGAGCAGGAGTCGGCCAGCCTGGGGCATGTCCCCGTCTCGCTGCCGCTCAAAACTCTTCCGTGGGGGACGATACGAACGGAGCTGTCCCGAGATGGCGTGAATCCCCAACCCAGCGTGTCGGGCTCCTCATGCTGACAGGCCAGGCCCTGGAGAATGGCCAGGAGGGGACGGCCCCGCCCTGGCTCCGAGGCCTTGGCCCGAACTGGCCTCCTCGTTATTATTAATGGGGCTAATGCAGCTCCGTCCGTCTAGCCGCGGTAGCCAGAGGGGATCTGTCCCGCAGAGCAGCCTCCTGAGCGCAGACAGTGGCTTGGGCTGAGTTTAGCTGGAGGGCATCAGAGACCCTGGCGTCTTCTGCAATCTCCAGGACACAAAGCGGGGGGGTGGGGGGGGGACTGCCAACACTTTGGAGGCCAGAGCTAGAATTCAGAGGGATCTGGAGAACTGGGCTATAGACAACAACATGAAATTCCCCAAAGCCAAACGGAAGGTGCTGCACTTCGGGAAGAAAAGCCAAATGCACAAACACAGACTGGGGAGACCTGGCTGGGCAGCAGCGCAGCTGAGAAGGAGCTGGGAGTCGTGGTGGGTCACACTCACAACCGCAACATGGGTCGGCAATGCGATGCTGGTGCAAAAAAAGCAAATGCAATTTTTGGTTGCTCTAAGAGAGGCAGAGCCTGCAAGTCACGGGAGGGGATAGACCTACTCCTCTGCACTGGTTAGGCCTCAGCTGGAGAACTAGGTCCAATTTTGGTCACCGATGTATAGAAAGGATGCAGAGAACCTGGAAAGGATCCAGAGGCGAGCGACAAAGATGATCACAGGGATGGAATGCAGCCGTGCGAGCAAAGGCTGAAGGAACTGGGTATGTTCAGTTTGGAAAAGAGGAGATTGGGGGGCACGGGATTGGGGTTTTCAGATACTTGAAAGGCTGCCATAAATAAGATGGAGAAAAGTTGGTCTCTCTTGCCACAGGGGGCAGGACAAGAGGCGATGGGTTCAAACGACAGCACAGCAGAGTTAGTCAATCTCAGGAGAATCTCCCTCACTGGAAGAGCAGTCAGACAATGGCACAGATACTTTGGGAGGTTGTGGAAGCCCCTTCACTGGAGGTTTTCGAGAGGAGGCTGGAGCCGTCTGTCTGGGATGGGTTAGACCCAACAAGTCCTGCATTGGCAGGGGTTAGACGAGATGACCCGTGTGTCCCCTGTGGGTCTGTGGTTCTAGGCTTGCTTTGGGGACTTGCCCTGTGCCCTCACCATGGTGCAGTCCGTGGGGTTACCTAACACCAGCTCGGGGGGGGACGGACCAGTTCTAGCCAGTGACTCCCCCAGACTGTCGCCTGCGTCCCCTGGGCGCTCTCCCGGCCAGGCTCCACGCCGCTCGGCTTGCCAGGTCTGCCCCGCTCGCAAGTCACTGGCTGGCCGGGCTGGGGGCCTGTAAGTGTGCGGGACTCACCCCTGCGGCGCCTCCTGCTGGTCTCTCAGGGAATTAGCTCATCCAGCCTCCAGAGCGCCCTCTGCAGGCCAGTGATCCGCCTTACCGCTGGCCCCTGTGTCCCTCCCAGGACCCCGGTGCCCCTTTCTCTGGGGTGCTGCCCCTCTGGCAGTAACCCCTCAGTCTCGGGGTGTCCCCACCCAGGGGAACCCCCACCCACTATCCCCACCTTGCCTCAGTGTAAGGCTACTGCCAGTCACCAACTAGCCCCCATTCCCTGGGGCAGACTGCAGTGTCAGCCACTCATCACTGGCAAGGGGGGTTTGGCCTGCTGCCTCCTTCCATCCCCAGTACCTCTATGGGCCTGGAACCAGGCCCTGCAGCCTGCGGAGTCTCCAGCCTGGAGCTCCCCTGCTCCCCTGGCTTCTCCCCGGCCCTGCCCCACTCCCAGGTACCGCTCAACCGTCCAGCACCAGGCCTGTCTCCCCCCACAGCTAGAGGAGAGACTGCTACCGCTGGCTGCCCTGGCCTTCTTACAAGGCCCGGTCAGTCTGTTTGGGGCCTGGCCCCGGCTGCAGCCACTTCCCCCATCAGCCGGGACTTTGTTCCCTTCCCCAGCCCCAGCCCTCTGCAGGCTTTTCCGTCTGGAGCGGGTGCTCACCCCACTACAGGCCCACAGGGCATCAGGGCCTGGGGGCAGGAGTCTGGAGCGGGAAGGCGCAGGATAGAGGACGTGGCCACAGGGCCCACTCCCTTCCCTGAGCTCCCTGCTCCCCGGCTGCTCCCTCCCTCGGGGGCTGTGCCCACGATCCCGACCCTGCTGCCCACGATACCCCAGCCGCCTGCCCTGACCCTGCTGCCCGCGATGGCCCAGCCACCCGCCCCGACCCAGCCACCCGCGACAGCCCAGCCGCCCGCCCCGCCCCAGCCGCCCGCCCCAACCCTGCCGCCCACGATAGCCCAGCCGCCCGCCCCGACCCAGCCGCCCGCGATAGCCCAGCTGCCGGCCCCGACCCTGCCGCCCATGATGGCCCAGCCGCTCGCCCCGACCCTGCCGCCCGCGATAGCCCAGCCGCCCGCTCCGACCCTGTCGCCCGCGATGGCCCAGCCGCCCGCACCGACCCTGCTGCCCGCGATAGCCCAGCCGCCCGCCCCGACCCTGCCGCCCGCTATAGCCCAGCCGCCCGCCCCGACCCTGCCGCCCGCGCCGGCCGAGGAATTTCATTTGGTTAATATATTCCCCGGACAGAAGTCCATAAATAAGCGGCGCCTGGGTGGCCCCTCGTCTCGCTCTCCGAACGAAGGTGTCAGCTTAACGAGCCGAAGCCCTCAGCCTGATTAACCAGCCGCTGCTCCCGCTAAGAGGGAGCTGAGCGGAGTGATTGATATAACGAGCTCGTTAGACTCAGCGGCTTCGCTCGGTTCCGCCTGCTTTATTTATTGCCTTAGCAACCGGCCGACGGGCCCAGGGCGAAGGGGAAGGTTGGTTTAGGGGCTCGCACCTTCCACGGGGGGCTTCGCCCTGCCTCCTCCTCCCTCCCGGCCCCCACCACTGCGCCTGGCCACCGGCCCCGCTCTGGCCCTGCAGCACTGGCCTGGCTGTCCCCAGTGCCGAGGCGAGAGGTGCCAACTCCTGGGGGCTGATGCCAGCGCCAGGGCGGCCTGGGCCCCCATCGACGTTCTCCACAGGACCACCCGAGTGGAGCAACTTCAGTAACATTAGCACCGAGCTGGGGACTCGAGCCCCAGCCCCACGCCGGCCTCACGCGGGGAGCTCAGCACCTCGCAGCCTCGGGCCCTGCCGGGCTCCGTCGCCACCCCCCAGAGACGTCCCGTCACCCCGGCCCCCGGCAGCGAGAGCAGGGCTGAGCTCCAGTCCCCGGGGATGATATCCCCGCAGGGCGAGGGTGGGGGGGCAGCAGCCCCACCAGTGACTTGGGGGGGTGGGGGGCTTTGAGAAAAGCTGGGCAGGCCCCTCCCTGGGGCCGGGGGGTCTCAGCGTGGGACCCTCGCTCTCCCTGGATGGGGGGACGCAGGGCAGAGGTGCAGCTGGCTCCAACGTGAGGCTCCGGCCCGGCCCTGGAAAACCCTCGTGCCAGGCCCAGGCCTCGCTCTCTGCACCGAGCCGTGTGGCACTGCAGCGCCCCAGGGCACCTCCTGGATGGGCGGGGGGGGGGGGGGAGGGGGCTTATCCCCTCCCCCATCTCTGGCTGCATGGCTCCTTCTCCCAGCAGGATGGGGGTCCCCTGCGTTCCCACCTGCCCCGCACCTCTGCTCGAGACGGGCACGTGCCGCGCTCAGGAGCTGTGTGGGGCAGGCCAGGGCACGGAGGGCAGTGGGGCTATGCGGGTGCCTCTGGGAACAGGCTTTGGACCCAGACAGGCACCCCCTGGAAATGCAGCTCTCTCTGGGGTGGGCCATGGCAGCCTCTGGCGTCGGGAACTGGAGCTAGGAATCCTGCTGGGAGAGTCCACCAGTCCCATGAGCGCCAGGCGCTGTCACACTGGGCCAGAGCCCGGACCCCAGGGAAGAGGAGGCAGCCAGCCAGAGTCCCGTCTCCGGTCTCACCACACTCCTCTGTCTGGCCCCAGCAGCTCCCTGCGAGGGACCCTGCAAGCTCGCCTGGGGCGGGTCTCCTAGCCTGGGCCAGAGCATTCTCCCCACGGTACGGGTGGGGAAACCGAGGCAAGGGGCTAATAATAGTGCCTGTTTCTTCTAGAGCGTGTTTCATCAGTAGATCTCAAAGCCCTTCCCAGGCTGTAATGGATCGAGTCTCACGCACCCCGGGGAGGCAGGGCAGGGCTGTCATCCCCTTTGCACAGAGGGGAAACCGAGGCACAGAGAGGCCAAGTGCCTTGCCCCATTCACACAGGGAGTCCATGGCACTCAGGGAATTGACCCAGAGCTCGTGGGCCCAAGGCCCCCCCTGCCCATCCTTCCTGCCCAAGGGCACCACCGGGAATAGAACCCAGGAGTCCGGACACCCCAGCTGTGCATCACCACCTCCAGCCTTTGCTTACTCCCTCATGTATCCCCAAGCCAGACCCTGCCCCCAGAAGTGCCCCCACCCTCCTGCCAGCCCTGCCCTGGAGGCGCCTCCAGGGCCTGGCACTGGGTCCCCTGCTGTGGCCGGGACGGGGTTAATCAGCAGCCAGAGAGGCCAGGTAATAAATGGCTGTTATCTTGCTAATGAGCTGACATTAATTAGAGCCCAAGGTCCTGGGAGAAGCGGCTGATTTAAGGGATGCCCTGCGAGCGGGCGCCTGTGAAACCCGGCCCAGGGCTCAGAGGGCTACATTCCCCCCTGCGTGCCCAGGCCCTTCCCACGCCCCTCGCTGGCCCAGTGCCAGGCTCCCCCTGCCCGCTCCATGGCCAGCGCCCAGAGCTGCCAGCGCCAGCCTGATGCAGGCGGGGGGTGGGGAGCCCTCTCTGGACAGCGCTGGGGTAGGGACGTTTCGTGCTCGCTCAGGACGAATGGCACTGCCACACCGGGGGAGGGGGGCGCTCCACACACCCTCGCTGCCAGGCCGTGGGCACCCCCCTGGCACAGGTGTGTGTGGGGATCTCCTGGAAGTGGATCGAGCGGCCGCCCTCAGCCAAATTCTGGGCTTGTTATCCCAGGCTGCAAAATTGGAGACATGTCACAACCCGTCTCCAAGCCCCGGTGCTGAGGAGACACCTGGAGGTTTGCTCCCTCCCCATGCGACCCATGAACCGGGCCTGTCAGACATGATCCCTTTGCACTCCCCACTGAGAGGCAGCCACCTCTGGGGTGGAATGCAGCAGCTTTTTATGCACGGCTTGTCCCCCAGCAACTGAAACGCCATCACCTCTGTCTGTGCTGGGGCCCTGGCCCTGGATGCACCAGCGCTGGCCACGGCTGGAGACTGGCCGTCGGGCGGGGAGGGGCAGGGCTCTGAGGTGGCACCGAGCATTCTCTCTCTCTCGGGTGTGTGGCTGGCTGGCTCTGGCTCACACGCCCAGGGTCTCGCTGATTGCCGTATGTGGGGTGGGGAGGGAATTTCCCCCCAGCTCAGACTGGCAGGGACCTTGGGGGTTTGTCTCCTTCCTCTGCAGCGTGTGGGTCACTTGCCAGCTTCATCTGGGTGTATCTCACGTCAGCATTGCCTTGCCATGACGGGGGCCTCGGGCACTGGTGCCCCTCGCACCCTCCTCTCCTCTGCCTGTGGCACATCATGGGCTGGTCTCCTGTGGGTCTCATTTCAGTGGATAGGTTTGTGTGCGGGGGCGGCGGAGGGGGGGGGGGAGACTGGATGATCCCGACTGGCCTCAAATGTCTGTGTTTGTCTACACTGCAACAGAAGACCCGCAGTGCGGCTGGCCCGGGGCAGCTGACTGGGGCCCGCGGGGCTCAGGCTGTGGGGCTAAAGACTGCAGCATAGATGTTGGGGCTGGGCCTGGAGCGCTGGGAAACCCTGACGGAGGGTGGGTCTCTGAGCCTGGGCTCCAGCCCGACCCCGAACGGCCTCACTGCAATCTTTAGCCCCGCAGCCCAGCCAGCCCGGGCTCTGAGACCTGGTGCTGCAGGGTTTTAGTGTGGTGTGGACGTACCCTAGGAATTCTAGCCTGGTGCCCCTACCCACTGGGCCAGCCCCCTTGCTCTGTCCAGCAGGGACCCACTGGCACCAGGGGATCCGGACTCCCGGGCCCCTCCAGCCCTGGCCCCTTAGTTCCTAGGATTTTATTTCTAACGTGTGCGGTGCTGTACAGACACAGCCCCTGCAGCCTGCCGTCTGCTATGATTTGTATTGCAGGAGCGGCTACCGGCCGGGGGGGGGGGGCACTCAGGCCCACTGGGCAAGGCGCTGCACGCACCACGGCCCGAGCCCCACGGCAGGTGGGACTGAGGTGCCCAAGAGGTGGGTGAATCAGAGACGGGGGTGGGGACTGGGGACAAGGCAGCAGGGAACGCCGGAGTCCCGGCTCGCTGCTCGCCTGGCACTGGCCTGGCGATGGATGTGCCGGGCGCTCGTGGGCCTGGTGTCGCAGAGATGGGCCCGGGAGGGGGGCTGAGAACAGCAGGTACCTAGGGGTACTGAGCTGCCTGCTCGCCGGGCAGAGGGGAGTCCGCCCGAGAGGCGGGTACCCCAGTCCTGGGCGGTGGACTCGGCCCTGCTCTGGTTAAGAGCTGATTTCTCACGTGCTCTGTGGCCGGTTAATGGTCACAGGTTACTTCTCAGCTCTTCATTTTGCCACAAATCACTGCAGGGCTGGCGGTTTATTTACCTTCCCCACCAGCCGTCCGGGGCTTCCCAGACTCCAGAGCTAGCCGGGACCCAGCGGGAGGCGGCGCAGAGAGGAGGGGCAGCAGCCCATGGCAGACTCCCAAACCACAGGGCTGGCTCCCAGGAGGCCTGTGAGGTGCCGAAGGCCTCTGGAAAGGCAGTGGAGCCAGGGATCTGTCTAGCTGATCCAGTGAACGGCAGCGTGACCTAGTGGGCGGAGCACTGAGCTGGGAGCCAGGACTGCTGGGGTCTCCCCCCAGCTCCACGCTGACCCTGCCCAGCCTCCTGGGGGGCAGAAACGTGCGTGCCGCACTATGCACAACCCACGGCTGGGAAGCTGCTGGCTCCGCCTGCGACTCCACGGGGCCTGATTTCCTCCCGTGGCCCTCGCTGTCATTTCAGGGGTGACTTCGCAAAGGTTGGGGCCTGTCACTCACCGAGAGGGGGGAGGCGCAGGGCAGGTCTGCAGAGACGCCCGAGAGGGTGGCTGCCCCTTGCAGCAGCGCAGCGCCACTCCCCATCCAGAGGGGGTGCCGGTGAGCAGCCTAGGGCCACTGGAATTCACGACGGCGGGTCCAACCTGGGCCAGGCACTGACCGCTGGGAGCCAGGCACCGGCAAACTCCCAGAACGTACCTCTGCCAATGCCCCTCAATCCCGATCCGCACCCCCCTGCTAGTCTAGTCCTCGGTCCCTGCTCCCCACCCCTCAGCTGTGCCAATGAACCAACCTCCCAGAGAAAGACACCTCGCTGTGGGATGGATCACAGGGCTGGAACTGTGGTTCCCTGCCCCAGGAAGCTGCGCTGGGAGCAGTGGCCGTGATCGGGAGGACGAAGACCCCTAAGGACGGTACAATGAAGGGAGCGTGGTGAGGTTACCCAGCGTCTCCGGGCTCAGGCGGCACTCAGGCCTTGGCAGAACGCTGCCTCGTGGTTAGTTTGTGGTCGTGCACGTTCCTGGGAAGGGCGCTCTTGCAAGCAGCCAGGGAGTTTGCTTTCTAACTACAGTCAGTTCTTGGGGCAGTTGCTCCCTGGGAACCAGGGGGTGGCGTTCGGGCTGAAATCCCTGAAAGAGGGGACTTACCTGCATGCTCCT